CGCAGACCAGGATGGCGACCACGGCCTGCCGCGGCGTGATCCTCGTGACGCGACACAGGACGACGTTGCCCACCTGCGGCAGGACCTCCCGCTTCTTCCGCCCGGCGCCCGGCGCGCCGACGTCCCTCGAGACCGATACCGTGGGGAGCTCCGAGGCGCCGGCCTTGGACTGCGCGAGGGTCTGGGTGATCCTGGAGATGCGCTTCGCGGGGCCGGGGCCGGAGGTGGTGGACGAGGACGAGGCGGTGCTGCTGGGCTGCGCGATGTTGACGGTGCCGAGGACGGAGCTGTAGAGGTTCTTCTCGTATAGGTGGACGCCCGGGCCGGGCTTGTATTTGGAGGCTGGGCCGAGGAGTTGGCCGGGGATGGCGATCGATGTCGTTGCCATGGTTGTGTGGTTATTGTGATTGTTGTTTGATTTGACCTGCTGTCAATACACCGGTCGCTTTTTGTCAATGTTGTATGAGAGGTCTAGTTTCGTAATTGGCAGGTGCTTCTTTGCATGGTCGTTTTTCTCGTTCGCGAACAGAGGATTATTCGTTTATTACCGTTGTCGTCGTGGATTTCGGCGGGGTGGAATGCACAAGCAATCCCGTCTGCGCGGGCAGGAGCAAGGAAACATTCCGCCCCGCCCAATCGATTCCGCTAACGTTTTTGGCCTGCAGAAAGGTTGCAAGGTGCAGATCAGATCAGATCAGCACGTCACAGTGTGCAGGTGGGCGGGTAGGCGGGTGTGTGGGTGTGGGCAGCACTGAGTCTACACTACCTCAGGTACTCCAGGGCTGTACCCATGCCGACTGGTAGGTACCATCTTCGTACCCCTGCAGCAAACTGGACCCCTGCCACACCAGATCCCCAGCAAAAAAAGAATTTTAGGGGTCCCTGTACCAACACAACAGACACACCGCACACCGCACACCGCACCGCGTTGGGCCCGGAGGAGCTAAGCTGGGCTGATCCGGGATACCGGACTCCGGCCCGCGCCCATAATCTCAAATCTCAAATCTCACATCGCAAATCTCGCGGGCGCGCCTGCCATTGAAATACCTAGGTAGATCTCTTTCTCTTCCTCTGTCTCTCTCCCCGTTCCTCTCCTGTCCTTAGCTTTCCGCGGCATCCACAACCAACACCACCACCATGGCGCGCTTCCTCTTCCTCCTAGCAGCGCTCGTCGGGCTCCTCAGCCCCATCGTCTACCTGCTCGAGCAGCGCCTCGAAGACTTCTACATCTTCAGCCCGGACCACCTCCACGGCCTCGCCAAGCAGGGTCTGGCGGCGCACGGCAACGACACGCGCGCCGTGGTCAGCTACATCGTCAACGAGCTGCACGGGGACGCGAAGACGGCCAGCCATGTTAACCTGGATGAGGAGTGGATCTTCAACAACGCCGGCGGTGCCATGGGCGCCATGTACATCATCCACGCCAGTATGTTTCCATTGCCCCAATCAACATAAGACAAATCGCAACCCCCATTCAGGCATCTCTGCTATCCCCCTAGACATATGTGAATGCAGTATAAGAGATATCACAAACCAATAGATCGATATGCTGACCAACGGACCCTCCTCCCCGTCCCCACCAACCAGGCGTGACAGAGTATCTCATCATCTTCGGCACCGCCATCGGCACCGAGGGCCACACCGGCCGCCACACGGCCGACGACTACTTCCACATCCTGTACGGGACACAGCTGGCCTACACGCCCGGCGAGTACGAGGCCGAGGTCTACCCCCAGGGCTCCGTGCACCACCTCCGCAGGGGCACCGTCAAGCAGTACAAGATGCCCGACGGTGGCTGCTTCGCCCTCGAGTACGCCAGGGGCTGGATCCCGCCCATGCTCTTCTTCGGCTTCGCCGACGGCCTCAGCAGCACCCTGGACTTCCCTACCCTCTGGAGGACCACCTGGGTCACCGGCCGCGAGATCGTGCTTAACCTGGCCCAGGGGAAGTTTTGAGCTGGGATGGACAGAAGCACGCGCCTTTTGAGGGCTGGGTGTTGTTGTTCGGGTGGTCTTGGGGGAGTGGGTTGTGTCGATTCGGGTCAGATTGACGATGGTTGCTACAGAGTTGATGCCTAGGTTCCACCCTGTTCGCTCGGAAGGCTTAGCAAAAGCGGGCATGCATATCATTATTAATTCGGGTCGCCTTTGGATGGCAAAAAACGCATAGAATTTGTATAATTGGGCAGACGGGGGAAGACATTCGGTGGCTGAAGAAAACCCCCAAGGGTTGTCTCGTATCAAGTGTGTGTATGTGTGTGTGTGTGTGTTATAACCACTACTTCCACCCTTCTATAGCTAACTACCTAGGTACATGCCTGCTACTTGCCTGGGCTTCACCCATTTAAGGAACTGTAGGTACCTGCCTGGGCATTCCACCCTTGAGTGACTCCTAGACATTCAATGTAGACAAAGCCATCCATGTACATGTGTTTAGAGCAGCTGGGGGCCAGATGAGCTCACATGGAATACAAGCAACCCACTTGGCAAATTACTGTACCTAGGTATTTAAAGTACTGTATTTAGGGGGAAACGCAAACGCACACAGCTCATAAAGATACACGCATGGTTGCCTGAATCTAGCTACCCTGTATTCCACCAGTTGACATCGACAGAGGTTTCAGCAACATTGCGCAACAACATCAACTTCCAAAATACTACATCGTCATTCGCGACCAGAAGCTTAGGATCCTTCAAAGCGCGGTACCTGACATCAACCTAGATACCATGGGGCGTGTGAGGTGTTGCGATGAGTGTTTCAAGAACACTTGCCCGAGTGTGGTATCGAAGGCTCGACAGACGCGAACTGTGAGAAATGCAATATATGCAATTTTTTAATCAATCTTTTTTTTGGGAAAGAAACGCACTTACTCTCGAGTTGCCTCAGCAAGATGGAGATGAGGCCTGGCTTGAAGACATGGGATATCTGGATTATGCCACGGATGATAGACACTTCGACTATTTTCGGAGTCATATTAGGCAGTGCTCCATTGCAAAAAGGCGAATCCTGGAGCAGCAGATGTAGTTGCCTTCCATCAAGTCGCTTACCTCCTAGTCGCTTACCTCCTGATCGCCTGCCTCCTAATAGTCAAACTCCTAATCGTCCCTATCCTAATCGTCTACTTCCTAGCGTTATACAGTATCAAGCCACTGTTTGACAGTCTGAAGATGATACCAAACTGGCATTCTCCCAGGTTCCGGAGATCAGCAAGATCCTTTTGATGTCATCCAAACATCGACCTGCTCGTGTCTGAGCGTTCAGACTCGATCGACTTGTTGCACGCCCGGTGGTGTGACAACCTCGAAAGCACTCCAAAGCAGTCTCTAATGGTTGAAGCCGAAGATGAAGCTTCATTTGATGCCCTACTCCCACTCGTCAAGGAGATGGCTTCGCGCCTGGGCAAAGACCAGGAGAATCTTGCAGCGTGGAATAGACAAGTTCAAGCTATAAGTAATCTGAGGTATCAGTATTCTCTGCACGAGCGCGGGACAGCTAGCGCATTAGTCACTATCTGCTACTGCGACTTGTCGTTTCCTTTGGATCTGGACCCTGGCGATGGCGATAGCTACATTCGGATGTACGTCAGTGGCCCCGGAACAAGGCATTCTCACGTGTATGTATGCGTTATCGGCTGGTGTCGGCGAAGACCCTGCTAGCCGTCTTGCTCTCAGAGTAAAGTTCAAGGATTGGGCTGGAAAGGAGATCCATTACTACGCGCATGCATCCGGGGAGCGTTCACTGTTCAAGGCCAATGCATTTGCTGATTTTCTTGATGGCAAGGAAAATACGCCGATATTGTACTAACCAACCGGAGATTGGTGAAACGCCGCAAGGGCGACAGACGGGGCGGGGGGTTGGGCTTTACGGCTGAGCCAGCTGACAAGAGAGGAGAACACTCCAGGACTATGTGTGACGCTCTTGGGAGAGTGGTTGCTGAGACGTGATGACCGAAGGTCGGGTCGCCAGCCCTTCCAGAAGTGAAGACATCATTGGCGCAACTATCGAAGCATCACCCCCATGAGGTTGTTGGAATATGTATTTATAGCTCACAATACAGCAAATCATTACGACACTGTTCGTCCCAGTGAATGAAACGAGGACTGATAACTACATCAAAGGTAACAATGACATTTAACGGTGTAGACGATCTAATTACGGGACGAGAGTTACTATACAAACACACCTGGAAAGTCAGTTCTATATCAAAATTCAGAATTGCCGAAATGGGCCACAGTAGCAGGACTCCCTCACAATTACTAAGACGAGAAACAATCCGATATGGGGTGGAATATGCTCTGTAGATCCTATAAATTCATTTGCAGACTATAACACCAGTTGACTTACCACCCAGAGATAGGGGACAAAATCGAGGCTGGAGATATCGGATTGAATTGGGTTTTCCACCCTAGAACATCTTTGCAGAGACTTTTACCAAAACACTCCCACGGGATGCGTCTGAGGATGCAAGGCCACGAAGACGTATAGGATCGCAAAGTCTGGACACGGAGGAGCACATGTCATAAAAGGCCAGACGTGCGAAAGAACAGGTGTGTTATATAAGGGCTTCACAAGAAAAAGGCTACAGTGTATAGGGACAAAGGGAGCAGACAAAGGCTTTGCCTACCTAGGAACATAGCACTCGAGCAGGTGAGCTACAGGCCTTGGCTGTAGGCCACCCACTTGTGTATTTAGGCAAGACTTCGTCTTCCAACTTGGTAGCTAATGAATCAAGCGACATCAAGTGACATGCGCTCAGCATAAATAAATAAAAAAGGGGGTATAGGCAGTCTTACAGAGCAAGAGTTAGGGTATAAACACACATCTGAAAGGTTGATTGTCATATTACAGATCAGGACAGCTGAATAGGTGCAAAAGTACCTACTAATACTTTAATCACGGTTCCTCTAACTATGCATATTCTAATATAAAACCCAGTTGTTGTACACAAGGCAAGACTCATGAGTACGTGAAAAAAGATAGCAAAAATCAGGAAAAAATAAAGCCCGACGTGGGACTCGAACCCACAACCTTAAGATTAGCTAGTAGGATAGTTAGTATCAAGTTCTTGCAAGAAATTTTTGGCTGCGTCTTTACTCACAAGTCTTACGCTCTAGCCATTGCGCTAGCCAGGCTGTAACGGACACGCCGTTGGGAACGAGAATTTGGAGAGGATTATAATCATGAGAAATGGTCTCTGGAGTCATCTCGAGGCTGTGGGTGACCTGTATAATCGGCTTCCAGCTCCTTCCGAATCTCCTTTCTTCTTGGCTTTTCGGGGTAGATTGAGTTCCGCCAGGGATTTCGTGGATTGTCATGCAGGATCTGCGAGCGCATGTACATCGTGGTCACCTCAAAACTCTCCTAGCCCTCGATCTGGATGAATTGTGCTGTAAATTCCAGTTATGCATAATCGATCAGCTGCATTGCCTGTTCTGTCATCTCAGAAGAGAGATATCGTACCTCACTACCTCCGGTACACCAAGGACTTAGCAGGTGTGCTTAGATCCATGGATGTACCCAGGTGCCTGGTCGGTGTGCCAGAGATAGCTCCAGCGCTGTCTCTGCGACTTCAGCGGAGCTCACAGCCCCAGAAAGTACATAGCGACCTCGCCCGACTAAATGAGGCAGCCGCAACAACAGATTCTAAACTCCGTGTGCATGTGCCATGTGATGTAAGAGCTGACGGCGACACTGGTAAGACGGGCAAAACTTTTCCATAATCGAGGATAATCGGATGCTGTTTTCTTTGTCGCTTGGGAGTACTTGAGAGGGAAATGGCCAGGACGATCTCCTAGTCAGTTGGTCCCCTTGGAGCGAACTTGAAAACATGGTAATAGTATGGCATAATTCAACATTGTCTACATGTGTAATGTTGCTGACATAGTGCCCAGGTGGATGGTGAACGGAGTCGGAGGAATCTTGGGGCTTTGTTTGCCGCTCAAGGTGGTATGAACTCCCTTTATCCCATTTGATTTCTCCCGCCTTATCTTTCGCTCTAGTCACATGCGAGCAGGGAAAATTGTGATTTGTAGAAACCGTCCGACCTACCGGACTCGTCTTTGGCTTATCAGGCACATTGCGAGTTACTCGCTGCCTTTGAGAAGGACGAGACACTTGCTACTTGCATCATACTCTTTCAGTCTCATGAATTACCCCCTAGTCAAGCCTCTAGTGTAGTAAATCTTTTGTTTCTTCGTGATACATCCGTGGTCACGATGGAGTGAGTCTACCTGCTCCTCCTTCTGACACCACATGGCTCATGCCGAGGTGGTACTGATATTCCGCGCCCCTCCCCCAAACAGACCCATCCTCCTTTTTTATATGATTCCATGACCTGTTCATTACCCTGCACCACTGAGTTGTTTAACTCATGACGACCCGCCTTTTTTGTTGGACCCCAACCCCTTCCAAGACGCTGTGCATAATCCTGTGAACGCCGTCCGCGATGATGCTGATACTCTGTACTGTAGTTCCTCGAGGCCACCGAGGTTGTTGTTCCTGGTTGCCGCTCAAACCCCCGAGACGCGCACGAGACTATCCTTTGAACTTCGTGCGAGCGACCCCGCTGTCGAGCACGTCGATGCTGCTATGTTCCAGTGAGCCAGTGACAATGTACGCTCGCAACCTAGGCAAGCCAACCCTGGTCGCGTCTTGCAGCCACCTTCATCACGAGCCCGTCTTCTTCATCGTCACTGTCCTCGTCGTAGTCGGGCTGTCCTCTGCCGGGCGATCCAACAACCTCGAATTCATCCTCACTGGGTTCGATTCCGGCCTCGAGCTCTTCCTCCTCCATCCATCTCAGACCATTGGCCTGCTCCTCGAGTGGGAAGATCTCTCTCGCATATTCCTCCAGTCCTCGAGGACCCTCCCACAGCTGGAGGGCATCATGTGGACAGCTCTCCTCCAGTGCGCGGTCGCCAAAATAAGGTGGCTGTTTCGCAGGGTCATCACCACCGAGATAGAACAATTTCTCGAGGGCTTCGAGCTGGATCCTGTAGCCCTCGGGTATCTTCACTTTGATATCGATCTTTCCCCTGACGTAGCGGACCGGCCGACCAACGCCCTTTGCGAACTCCGCGCAGACCTCTCTGGGTGTTAGGACCTCGTACGCAAGTGCTATGCGCTTTCCACCCCATTTCTCCACCCCGTCTTTGAAAACCTGGAGAATTGCTGGTCCGACATCGTGCTCTGCATCCAACCAGGGGAGTTTGGCATCTGGATGGAAAGGCGCTTGCCACACAAAAGAGCCGTCTGGCTGCATATCCGTAAAGAATAGTGGATAGGGTAAGCTCGTGAAATTGTTGTTGTAGATGCCAGTATAGACGAAGGTTGCCGGGAGTCCGATCTGCTTGACGTAATCCTCGACCTTGTGCTTGGACGCCCAAAGTGGCAAGCTTGGCCACTCCTCGTTATATGCATGGTGGTCCGGCATGGAGGAATAGACGTAGTGCTGAATACCTGCCCGCTGTGCTGCGTCTGCCAGGGCTTCGCCAATCCTGATCTCGTCGCCATAGAAGGTCGTGTTGATGAAGGCAAGCTGCGCGCCTCGGAACAGCTCCGAGATCAGCTGGTGATTTACCCCTATGCCGGAGATGGGGCCATTTTGTGTGACGTCCGCCTTCTCGGATGTGGCGCCGTGTCTCGTGTAGAGCTCACCCACGAGCAGAGTGACATTAGGGTTCGTCTTGATCTCAGTCGCCACTACACCGTCGAGATTCCGCATCTGAGCTCGTACGTGATAGCCCACAGCTGTGACATTACGGATCAGCGAAGCAGCCTGGCGACCGGCGGCGTTTATGACTGCAATGGTCTTGTCCGGGGACGGCATGGTGCGTTTAGCAGGGCGGGAAAATGTGAGGGAATTGTTGCGGGAGCTGTACAATGATCCAGCTTCAGAGTATGACGATCTTGAGTGCTTGTGTCTCCGCTCCTCCGTTGGCTTCGCCCTGATGGGTATGCTTTGTGTGGCGCTATGCTGAGCAGGCCTGACCGGAATCCCTGTAGAGTGAGGCATGTCGGATGTCGCTGAGCAAATGGCCATTCCTGAAGTAGCCGTACCAGTGTCCTTCACCACCGGATAGATAGTATCTCCCACCACAACCAAAGGAGGGCTGGAAGAGGACCGGGATTCTTGGCTCAATGATCTCGCGACCTGTGCTAGGTCAAGAGACAGGCGATTATGAAGGGCTTTGAAGGGTCTTCGACCAGATCTAGAGACCTGTAGCGGCGAGTGTGAACACGATTGTGGGTCGAGAGAATATCGGCACAGAAAGATGACACACAGGTGAGAAAACGTATCGCGATATGTCCCCGGAGTGATATAGGAAGCACTGATCGACAGCAGGAGAAAAAGAGAAATGAGGTATCCTCGTCCGGTATGCAGCCGAAGCTTCTTAGTGCGACCGGCAAAGTCACTCTACCTGCTTCTGGCTGCCACCCACGCCCTAGAGGGTACTTCTAGATTCGGACCAGCAGCTCGCCAACCTCTTCGACCACGCTGCAGGGACGTTGTCTGCTTCGGAGAGCGTCAGCGGGTTTGCGATGGTGGACTGAGAGGCAGGTTGCATGCATAAAAAGGTGATACATTGACTGATAGGCGGTGGGCGCGAGGTGCCCTTTACGGAACAACGACCTCAGGACCTTTCTTGAGGCAGCGAAGGCGCATGCTCAGGAAACACATCGATGATGACGTGCGGATCATGGTTTAGAAGGGGAAAATTCTGCACTTCGTGCAACATGGCCAGACCATGTCTTCCACATGAAAGACAAAGCCCGAGATAAGAAATGCGGACACGGCCTGCGAGGAGCAGGAGGACAGGAAGGGACGAGAAGGAGCAGGGAGGGGGACAGAAAGGGAAACCGGTCACGGACTCACATATCTGACAGCATGTACCATGTACCGTACGAATCCGCCGATTGCGAGGACCGCTTGGATCGAAGCAAGGGCTCGTGCAGCAACGTACAGACGTGTGTACCCTAGGTAGGTCCGGATCGGTTTGAGGACAAAGGTAAAATAAGTGGGAGTGGCCTTGTAGGTCGACAAGACGAGACAGGACAGCAGAGTAAAGGTTGTGCTAGAAAGTCACCGGGGTTGCCAGGTAAATATAGGACGTCCCTTCGGGCCCTACTGTTGGGCTATGTCCACCGTTGGGTAATTCGTATGGGGTAATGAATAAGAACGACAGTTCACCTGGCGTCTAGATTGTCTCGATAGCCCGATGGGGAATATTCCAGAGCCTGAGAGGACCGTGGTCTGAGATGGTGGATAAAGGGGGACGTCGATTTCTGGGGAAGTGATCGCAGGCCCCGGACTGGATCGAGTCAAGCAGATGCAAGCCCAAGTACAAGTAGCCTCAGATGACAGTAGCTGATAGCCGAACCGGTGAAGGGTCATGCAAAGCGGGAGATGTTCAGGCGGCTTGAAGATTGTTGGTGCAAGTTGAATCCAGGGTCCGCCCCGAGGTGAAGTGTATAGCCAGGTAAGGCAAGACTCCCAAAGCTCAAGTCTGTTCTAGGCTCGGCTAGAGGAACCGAGACAGATAAGGGGCCAGACAGCTGTTGGCCGAGAACCTCGCTGGCTTCGTTGGCGCGATCGTGCGTGAACACGGCCGCGGAAACAGACGGGAAAAGATAGCGGTGAAGGGCGCTGTAACTATCAGTTGACCTTTGTCAGGACTGTTTCAGAGAAACTTGTTGATGAGTTAGCGAGTAGAGAACGAGAGAGAGAAAAAGTCTTTCCCGTCACGATGTTGATTGTCATAGATAGTTCGGGATCCGCCCTAAACGTGGAGCCGTGCAGCAACGGCAGAAAGTGGTGCACTGCGGTCTGTCTTGTTAGGCCGGGAGGTGTGGAGGATAACGGGACAAGCCAAGTGGGTACCGGTAGTAATATCCATTGGATGTACATACCTAGGTAGGTACCTACCTTATGCGTGTACCTACCCAAGTAGGAACGTACCGGTTGACCTACCTACCTAGGTACCTAGATATCTAGTACGGACCACATTGTACTCTACGGTCCGTCCAAATAAGCCTACCTATGTACCTAGGTACCTGCCTAGGTAGGTAGTGGCAGTTGGCATCATCTACGCTACCTAGGTACTCGATTTGCAGCCACGCAATTGAATCCCAA